ATTGATTCGACTCGAGTCGTTAATCCTAGAACTGTCAAGAACTGAAAAACTCCGGTTTTACACGGTTGGAGGTGTTGGTTTTCTAATATTTAAAAGTTCGCACGATATAACGAAAACTGCATGGGCTGCAACTTCGCCTCGTTGAAGCGCGAGAATTCTAAATTGCAGTTTTTCAAACGAAACCGTGACGAGCTATCTGCTTCAAAACATTTGTACTGAAAAGGCTGCAAAACCACCAAATAAACCACACAGACTTCAACTACAGCCAGAGATGCAGTGTAAACATAAAATTACTTCGAGTTGAAATGTTTACAACTCTGTTAATTATCCAACAACTATAACAATTAAAAGGAATAAAAAAAAGTTGTAGCAATAGCAACGAAACAATTAAAATTTATTTTTGAAATAAAGCAATATACAATAAATAGATTTCTATGAAAGATAAGAATTTGTAATCAAATTTATTCACATTATTATTTTATTCTTGTTGAATGCTATTTTGAAAGCTCTTTTCTATTTTAGACGAAAATTTACAGTCAGTGGGATCAAAATTCCATTCTTTGAAAGGTACGAACCACTTTCGAACCGTCAAACCACCAACAGAATCCTCCCTGTAAAGTGCTTGAATATTTTCACCGGCTCTGGTAGTATTGAAACCATGACTGAACTTGAAGGGCCACAAATTTTGGGAATGTTCGTTTTTTCCGCTAGGCTGTTCCTCTTTTTATCACAACAATCAACTCGATATTTTCATATAGAATTAGAAGTCTGTTAAGACCATTTTATTCAACTCAATAGTACTTATTCTTCGATTACTTTTATAATGAATGAAATATGTCTATCGTGTTTGATACAGTTTTACGAATTTCCCTTAAAAGTTTAATGAAAATTTGAGATGGTTCGTAGCTTCTAATTCATTTCAAGCCACTGTCTAGCTACATGCAAAATTCGCAGTAGATTTATCTAGTGACGTTTGCAGGATTGAGTAATAGACAAAAACTCATGGACGTCGTTTCTCGTTTATATATTAGTAGAGATTTTATTGTTCTTCTTGAGTCCTGAGCAAACTTATGTTAAAGCCGTCGAGAGTTGGCATGGATTTACCCTCGCCAGCGTTTCTACACTCGAAGTGTCGTCCACCACTCCTGGCTTATCAACTTTATTCCCTTCTTGTTTTATCCTTCATATTCTGAACATAATCCATGCCAATTAATTAAAGTAATTCATTAGAAATCATTTGATCATTTGTATAAACATACCATAAATATCTTTAATATATATCTATATATCTCTATATCTATCTATTTAATATCTTCAATATCTATAAATATTTTTATTATAAAATAATTCATTAAAAATTGAGTCATTTTTATAAATTTACAATATATTATAATTTATAAAAATTAATCGTAGAAAAGAACGCATCATTTGTCACTTTTATTCAGCACCTAGATAGTTTTAAAAACCTCACTGAAAAATACAAAGTTCTTTTTCATCGCCCCATTTGCCGCCCTCTTTCTGTCACATAGAAGTAATGTCGGTTTTTAATCGAGTCAAGATAAGATTACCTTTTATTAAAGTTCAATTTAAGTGTAAGAATCTGACAAGCGAATAGAAATAAGAACGTGTTAAATAATCATAGGAAATACTAGATATTATATAACTGATTAAAGAAGACAATAGTAGCATAGTAAATTTACTTTTGTATTCGTAGAAATTTACTTTCACCGAATCAATAAAATATTATCTTCTTAGTTAACATTCTTCGTTCCATTATTTTTCAAGCTTTTCTTGCCTTGCTGCATTTGTTATTTGATTCATTTATATTATGACACAGTAAATCACCATATCTAATATATTATATTTTAAATTTCACCCAGATATTGGGTAGTCAACGAATAATAATTAGAGAATAATAATCATCGAACCGATGAAAAATCAAATCAAGTACACTTAATCTTAACACTGCAAAGGAAAGAAATATTATATAAAGAATGCCAGAAATATTTCCACAGTACTTTCCATTATATAATAAAAAGGAATAAAAAGTCGAAAAACTATTCAGAACAACATCTGTATGGAGCAGCAGAAATAGCTGAGTTGTCGGTAAGAGAAGAACCATTGTTCGAAAACTAAAGAAGAGCCCACGTAGTACTTCTGCTCCAAATCATGCAGGAATGACTGCTAACAGTTAACTGGAAGAACGCCTATCCTAATTCTACAAAAAAAATTACGTGCTGCTGAATTTTCACTAAAGGGGCACATCAATAAAACTAGAACATCGTAAAGAGTACGTCCAATGAAACTTTAAAGCATTCAATTCCGCTTTGAATTTTTTTCATTCAGAATTATGCATAACGAGAACATTCATTCAGCCACAATTCCCTCAAAAGGTGCGTCAAGTATGGAAGTTAATAATCCGGATATTTATGAAATTTCATATTTTTTCTTTATTGTAAAAGAAAAACCTTTCGAATAAATGATCTTCGATTCAAATATTTTAAACTGAGAATACATTAACTCCCAAAACGACAGTTCCTTTTTTATTATTACTATTTTACTAGTCGTTGAATTTATATTTTTACATGTTATAATTATAAATCTAAAACAGGCATTCGCTGTGAAAATGCAGACGGCCAAGGTATGATACTTTAACACATTGACTGCCACGGTGGTTACCGATAACCCGAGCTTTTAAATGATTTCAAAAGAATTATAATTTATAAAATAACTAATATCGCTTCAAAATGTTCGATAGTGTAAATAACTAGATAATAGTGTGACGTAAGTGTAACTAATTAATAATTGTTCATTTTTATCTTTGCTGCAAAAGAATGAGTGATACATGAATAGTTTTTTCAGGGCAGTCGACGTGCTAAAAATCTACACTTCGAACTCTTTCAAAATGGTTGGCATTATGTAACCGAAGCTTCACTTGCCAGTAAATAGTGTTGGTGTGAAGGAGAATGGGGAAGCATCCTCTACAGGAAGCCATCAAGCGAAAATATATAATACTGGTGCAAACAGGAAGTTCCATTTGTAAAAAGTTCGAATGCTTTCGCATAAGCGAACAGAACGATTTCTATGAAACGCCATAAAGAATAAGAATTCTGTAGAGTTCATTAACTTCTCGCGAGGACCGATAGAAGATAGGCCAGAATTTCTCGCCTGGCCGCGGACTATCGATAATAAACGCGAAGAATATTCGTGCAGCGGCGGTGGCGGTAGTGGTTGCGTATCTTCTCCCGACGACATGCGAGCCATAAATTTTTTCGCGGTAGTTCCGCGGAATTCACAAACACGGCAACTTTATATTTCTCGCCCGTTTCGATTGCCTGAGCATGCATTTACATCTGGCCGTTGTGTGCAAACATTAATTTGCTGTAGCTAGATGCTGCGGCGGTCGAGCTTTATCTGCGATTTTAATTCGAAATTACGCGCTCTGATATTTCGTCCGCAAAAATTGAAGGAACATTATTACACCGGTATTTCCGTTTTTAAGAATTCGTATCTATATATTATTAGAAATGGAATTTTCCTACGTCTGCGAAACGTTTATAACTATTGCGAGCGAGAATTATATCGTTTCATTTTTTCCGGAGAAAAATATCATCCGGTTCGAAACATTGAATATTTCACGAGACTTTCTGTTGCTGAAATTGGCGAAAGTAATTATGTTTCTTTCGGTAAAATATTCGTCAACGATAGTATCGAAAAGCTTTGTTCATTGTGGACAGAAAAATGATTTGCTTTTAATGACTTGCTCTAAAAGGCGGTAGCCATAGTTATTAACGTTAACCAACACGTAAAAGATGAACACGATTATAAAAATCAGTTCGAACGCTCATTGTGTACCTCGCACAGTTATTCGTGATAGTCGAAGTTAAAATTGAAAATCGTACGAATGAAATATTCCATTCCATTTAGTTGCATGCTATTTAAAAAAAAACCTTTCTATCTAATTGAGTAACGGAAACATTTATGAAGCCATTGAATCAATATCAAACATGTCAAAAGCCCAATATGCAATTTAACTAGTATGTCGATCATTCTTTCATTAAATTGTGTGTTTATAAACAAAGTACCTTCAATTAGTAAAATGAAATATTTCCCCTCTTTGTTTATCAGAAAATTCCATTTAAACGTTGATCGATTACCAGCATCATCGGACATAATTCCGTTAATGCGTCTGTTTGTTGCTTAATATTTCCACTTTCTGCCTCTAATTAAATATGTTTTTTTCAAATCCCCATGTAATCCAAGACACAACGATGCATATTATATTTGCTCCTAACAACAAAACTTCGTGACAATTACAATTATCACCGAAAACTCCATTTGTCAAAGTATTCGAAACAATCGACGCATTCTATTATTAGCAACCGCCCGCGGCATATCCTATATTTGAAACTCGTAATCGGCGTGAGTACCGAGAACGCTCGAGCAACGCAATCGAAAGCTTCTTTATCACTCCGTAGTCCAAGTTTGTTTGTTGCTTCTGCTGCAAGTTCCACAAATAAACGCGGAACACGTTCCCGAAGCACACGGAGCCGCGTTTGTCCTCCTCCCCCCGGCCGCCCCGCGGAAAAGTGTATTTTTTGTTTCGCGTTTACATCATACAGTTACCGCGATTTCCCGGAGAACTTCCCACTCATTTTCACTCATTTCCCAACTATAAATTTCCGCGTGTATCGCGGCCCATTTGCGGACGCGGCGTTCCCGCATTCTTGCTCCATCTCGCAAGGCGTTTTTCATCCTATTCACCCCGTCCCGCTTGCTCTCCCTACGTCTGTGAATTTCTCTCCGGGTGTCCGTAACTTTCAACGGAACCGTGCAACTTCTTTTGAATTCACGCGTGACCCGTTTCCACGGGTGCCCGGCGAATCCCGAGCCGCGTTTCCCCGAGCATCGTGTGAAATGAATCTCCCCCTGTTCTCGCGCGCGAGTGTTTCGCACGTTCCACAACCCGACGCCCGTTCCCCGACGAGACAATGGCTTACCTTCAACACAACGCGGGATCAGCAGCGCGGCGAGCAGAAAGATCGCCGCGATCGCGTCCTTCTCCATAGTCCTGCGGAAGATACTCCACTCGCGTTCGCCGGCCATCCTCGTCGCCTAAGTGTCAGCAGCTCGCCGTACTCCGCAACGAAAATCCGCGGTTCAATACTTCACGCACCACATTCGTCGCACCACCGTACTGCTCCGATCCGTATCCTATCGAGAACCGATCTCCCTTCGATGGTGATCCTCACACACGGTCAGCACACTCACAGAGTCACGCGGCGAACACCAAACAACAACAGCAACCGGTTGTCGAATCCCGATCCAGTTCGCAACGCGATCGATCGTAGCTGGCCCCGAGAGTCACTGGTGGTTGGTCGCGTGCATTGGTTCCCACTGGTCCCTTAGAATCGGAACATCCCAGTTGAAGAAGCTAGCAAGCATGGGAGAAAGAAGATCCGGGGGAAGCGAACGGAAGACGCCGGCAGATCCGGAAGGGGATGCGCGCTTTGCTAGAGTGTAAGCGCGACCCCGTCGGTTCGCTAAAAGCGTGTCAGCGGAGAGCGCAAAGGCAGAGGCGACTCGGAGAGCACGTGCACGCTCGATAAACGGCGGGCTACCGTGTGCAGGACCACCGTGGACGCGGCGTAGAGGGCAAGAACCAGATGAAACGGGAGGGATTGAGTCAGCGGAGACCGGGTCCAGGGCGTCGACAAACGCGGGAGGGAAGATCCAGGATGTTTCGGGGCAGATGATGCTTTCGTTCGACGTTGTTTATCCTTCTGCTTGTGTCTCGCGCGTTCACGACGAGTATACTGGGACCTGTCCCGTAGAGCTGCGGCACCAAGAGCGTCGCGCGTTCAGTCGGGTAAACCACCTCGACAAACTGACCCAGAGAGTGCGGAGGAGACCGAGAACAGCCCGCGAGACCGACTGACGTGCCGGGGACGAGGCGGCGCGACGCGACACGACCGATTCGTACGCTTACCCGAAACTAAGCGATTCGTGGCGAACGGCGCGCACCTGTCGTTCCGCGGGTCGCTGCGCATGTCCCTACGAAGGAAGCCGACCGCCTGCAACGGTAGCTCGTCCGTCCGGGGTGGGCGCAGATGGGAGAACCGTGGCAGTCTCTGCATGAACGCGGAAAGGTGGTGGAAAGTCCTGAACATGGAATTAAGATTTTCCGTGTGACCTGAACCTTCTCCTCCCCCGCGCGGCCCTCCGCCTGCCTGGCTGTACCCTACTGCCGGCGCGTCTACCGACATTTCTGCGTCGCGGAATTTTTCCCGCTTATCGCCGACGCCGATCCTTTGCCTGACCAGAGATTTTGGTATCGTTGCACCTAGGTACTGGTGTGTTAATCAACGGGAACCGCGATGGCAATCGCGCGCTAGGAAGTAACGGATTCGGATTCGCTTAGTTCGAGTTCGTTGCTCGGAGCGAAGCGAAATTTTCAGATTAACAGACTGCATGGGAACGTGTTAATATCTTTTCCACGATGCGACGTTGGAAAGCGTGTTGATACTTTGACAGAAATGATTTCCATGTTTTAATGCATTTTAATGAAAGATAAAATTTCGGTAACTCTTGATATTGTCGCTTGGAGTACGCAAAACTTCGGTGATACACGGAAATAAGCGTAAACTTTTTCGTTGCAGTAGATATACTTTTATTACTTTTCCCTGTAGTCTATATTTTTTCCTCGCCTCATATGTGACACCAATGTGGTGCCACTGGACGGCATAGTGTTAATATCTGTTGCATTCATATTTTCTTCACACTTGACTGATTTTCGCCTGGTAGACGCGCAAATAATTTCTGTGCTTTGACCCGCACAGAATGTGCTAAATTTGAACTTTTGGGATTTATATTTGGAAGTTAGGTTTTAATCAAAATGTAGTAACGCTGAAAATGGCAATATACATATTCAAAAAACGTAATGCAATTTTTAGTTATTTTTGTTTAGTAATAACTAAAGAATTGCTTGTAGAGTAAACCTGATAGTTGACATGTAATCTATGGGAACAAATTGAACATTAAATTATAGGCACAAAATGAATTGCCTGCACTTTCTCTTACCCTCTTGATAATTAATTACTTTCTGCTTGAACATTGCAAGTAATGTGGATGTATTTACGTATACTATACTTATATTAGCTAATTAATAATTAACGTAAATGATATATCGCAGAGGCTTAATTAGATTCCGAGAAAAATAAATTAGTGTTCTTTTGAAACGCATGCTTCAAATACGCTGTCCACTGAAATGATCTTTTTGGTCAATCTCTCGGTTATCGGATCACGATATATCTCTGTCATTTGTTGCCTCAAACTTCAGTGATTTCCGTTTCATTAGCTGAAACGTTCATCGATTCGAAGAGCTACATTTTTCGTTTTTATACTGAACGAAAATTCGATTTACGGAAGTTAATTTCCGCGCGTATTTTGGAAACTACACAATTTTCACGGTACGTTGCCTTTGAAACGACCTTGAACAAGGAAGCGTTTCGCAAGATGGCGTTAGACACTTTAGAACGAGCCAGCGTCATCAGTACCGATCCCCTTCAGCGGTCGCTTGAACACCTGTTTCCTATTGAGTCACGCTACATGACTTCTTCCTTCCGCAGGGTAAAAAGAAATCAACCTTAAGACGGCACGTTGTTATTACCGAAGAGATTTTATGGATATAGCTTCGCGCGAAAGTGAATACAAACGCAAGGAAACGATTAATCTTTATGACTTACATTTATTCCCTCGTAACAACTGATTTCTTTTCATTTCAATGTTGCAACATTGAATAAATTTAAAAGGAGGTACCGCATCAAGTACCATTCCTGTATGCGAGCGTGAAATTGATCAGAATCGATGGTTGTCTAAATAAAAAAAAAGTTGTAACTTCACGTGTAACGAGAATTAGGTAACATTGTATATGGAATTAAATGAATGCATATAACAGCGATGTACGCAGCTATTAATGAAATTTATTTGGTACAAGTGGTAACGCAAGAATGTTGGTCTTCATGGAATTAACCCCTTACGGAGAATTCACTAGTTCCGCATTGTTTAATTACTAAGAGACGTGTTTAAATTGGATACTGTACAATACTGTGTCAATAAATCCGAGGTACAAACACGCGAAGCATACACGTTTTAGTTTCAAAAGATTGAACGTTGAACAGCCGTTCGTTGAAAACGTTGGCTAAACGTTAGTGCTAAAACATATTTTAATCCTTGTCGCCGTAACAAACAGAATCATCAGAAATATAATTAGATCAGTAATCAAACGCTCTGTGACACAATCATTCCGAGTAACGTGCTGAACGTGCTCCAGTTATTTGTGCAATTCGGTTATTTATGTTTACGACGATTGGTCAGTCGGCGTTCGTTTAATTAATGCTGCCTTCGTTTCCGACAAAACAAACAAACTGAAAAGCATGGAATTTCTTTGGGCAAACGGATTTCCCGATTGCTCAACGTCCCTGCTAATTACACGCGAGTGCTTATTAGATTGGGGACGTGTAATTGGGGCGGGCAGAGATATAATGCGTGTGTGACGTCAAATTAAAATTTTTCACTAATTTTAATATCGCGCATAAAGGATTCCACGTGGAAACTTTTAAATTTTTGGAAATGATCCCTGTGATTCGAAATAACCCGTCCTCTGTTCATCGTAACTGATTCGATTTTGTTTATTCTCTCTTATTTTATCTGCGAGCACGATTATCGAGCTTTGACTTTATTTACATGTTTAAATTAAAGGCTTAGTAATTATTTCGTATCGATTAATACGCGTATACTGATTTTGTTAAACCTCGCGACTAGCGATGTACTTTTAAATAGGTCATTATTAACTCTTTCACAGCTCATTGGAAAGAGAGAATACTCGAAACAACATATAAAATAAACACTTCGATCCACCTTATTTTACTCGTACATATATAGACTAAAATTTTTCAAAAAATTCAACATGCCTTTTCGATAAATAAACAAAACTATTTCAATGGAATTCAGCTTATCCGTATAACATAGAAATTAACGTTGGCTTGCCCATACGACATACTAAACCTTTGAGAACGAATGTCATCATATTGACGATATCATTGCAAACAAATAATTTAATTATTCAAATAATCAAAGGCCAGTACGTAGTTTTCATCGTTTTTGGTACATAAAAGTTCAATATATAATTTAGCTTCCTCCACCGAAAATTTTAAATGTTCGAAAAATTCCTCGTCCGCAAAGAGCTAAAATGCCAAAGGGTTTATTGATTATTCTTCGTCTTTCACCATTGGTTTAATATGTAACTACTATTACTTGTCATCTCCTACTTAAAAAAACGATGTGATCTATTTGTCATGTTAGCGTTGCACATTTCACATGATGAATTTTACTTAGCACCGAACGTAGAGCATGGTTATCGACCTTATGAAATGTAAATTCGCTCGGAATGGAAAGAAAATACCGGCAACTATGATTAACATTCCTGCTTCCGCGGTGCGTCGAGAGAAAATATTATACTGACGGTTGGAGTTCTCACTATTCACTGCAAATATTCAGCCAATAATGATCCCTCCATTATTTTGATTTATCATCAAACAATTCTCTTATTAAGTCTTTCCAATTAATTAATTTAGAAGCAGGGGTTCTGAAATTATTTGTAGCTGAAAAATGTAAAAGCTGTTTTCTGGAAATATTAACGCAGAAGAACATTTATTATCCCGGACTAATTATTCAAAATGTATAATGAGCGTCAGTCAACAATGCAATATTTTATGAAGAGAACAGCAAAATTATTTTATTCCAACTTGTTTTCCTATTCTTTTAATTGTAAATAATGGTAGTATGAAAAGCTAATGTAGTTATGAGAGCATGTCTTTTGTGTTTTCTTGAAAACATAACTTGATAATCGTTCCACTGTCTTGCATAAAATTAGTGTTGATTGTGTTGATCGAACCAAACAGTTTATAGTAAATGTGAAGTAAAAATCTAGAAGAATCTTCAATCTCTTTTCTTTAAAAATTTTTTAACCATATCTTCAATTTATATATTTTTTTTTACTCGCTGGTCGTACATAAATAAATGTAACTACTTGGAACTTACGTATTTATATAAATACTTTCTATACATTTATTCGTATATAAATATATGCCACTATATACATATGCAGTTCAAGTGAAAGCAAAACCACTCAAAACAATACACTTACTAAAAAAATAATGAGGAAAACAACAGCTGAAGCATTATTGGATTGCATTTTTTAGTTAAACTTCCAGGAAATGTATATCTGACGCTTCACAAACACTGCAGCTAACTTCTTCAGAGGTTAAATGATACTGTATCATTTGACCCCCGAAGAAGATATAATAAAGAACACAGAGCATAATAAAAACTATTAATTAATCGTTACAAATGATATCCAATGAAGGAAATTAATTTCAACAAGGCATTAATGATGATTACAGTATTATTGAAAGTTGCTGTGCGTTTCAAATGTTTAATCGTCGATGTATTAGCACTATTAAAAGAATGGATTTTAAAATAATTATTTTTATAATTATAGCAATATTACATGCCTGAGTTCATTTAATTTTATTCCACTCCTCGTAGGAGAAAATAATAAATATATGAAGTAAAATTTAGTATGTATACTTTTTAGCTACAGCAGTTGACTTTGATAACAAGTGAACAGCGTGTTGTTAGTGAAACGTCGAAAGCCAAGGTTAGATACTTGAACCGATCCTGGACTATCTGATTAAGATCCCACACGAATTTCCCGTATATAAGTGCAAGTGAAGCATTCATTAACCTCATCGGTATAATGCGAATGCAATTTATGTAGTCATCAGTGAGAAAAAAATTTGAATGACTCTTATACACCACAATAACAATGTTGAAGAAGAAACTGTACAAATCTCGAAAGATGACTCTAAAGAAACATCTCTTAAGAAACGTAAAACGAGTACAATGTTACTGAAGTACACAACAATGTT